TCACTGCAATCTCCACCTCCTGGGTTCAAGCAATTCTCGTGCCTCAGCCTCCCAAGTAGCTGGGACTACAGACGTGTGCCACCATGCCCAGCAAATTTCTTGTATTTTTTGATAGAGATGGGGTTTCGCCATGTTGGTCAGGCTGGTCTCGAACTCCTGGCCTCAAGTGATCCACCCGCCTCAGCCTCCCAAAATGCTGGGATTATAGGCGTGAGCTACCACACCCAACCAAAAACAACTTTACTGGGTGAAAAGAACACTGGGTAAGAGTCAGAGAGACCTGGCCTTGGAATGTAGTTTCTATTGGAACTAGCTGTGTGAACTTGAGCAAGTTACTTAACCTCTCTGAGTTTCCACTTCCTCATCTAAGGAATGGGGATCCTGACACCCAACCCATGAAACTGGAATGAGGCTTACCTGAAGTCATGTCCCTAAGACATTTAGTGTCTGGCATCTGGTGTGTGCTACAGAAATGTTGACTGTTATTGTTATTAGCTATTATTATTTATAATTTACTGACTGCTTGCTCTGTGCCAGGCATTGTATCAAGTGTTTTAAGATGTACTAACTCATTTAATCCTCACAGTCATGCTATGAGATAGCCCCATCTTATAGATGAGGAAACTGAGGCACAGAAGGGTTAAGTAAATTGCTGATGGTCACACAGCTAAAAAGCCATGGAATTGATCCATAAACCCAGGCTGTCTGGATGCAAAGCCTGCCCTATTACCCACCAAGCTGCACTGTCTCAAATACTACTACTTTCTGGAAGAATGTTCTCTTTGCTTGTCCAAGCCCAGAGAGAATTCCAGTAGAGGTGAGGATGGAGCAGTAGCTGAATCCAGTTGCTCAAATCCAGGGATGAGAAAGATGTCTTACCCTAATGCGAGATGAATATCCAGGGCATTAACTTGGGCTGGCCCAAGTGCAGTGGCCCACACAGGTAATCACAGCACTTTGGGAGGCCAAGGTGAGAGGATTGCTTGGGCTTAGGCGTTCCAGACCAGCCTAGTCAACATAGCGAGACCTTGTCTCCACTAAACATTTTACAAATCAGCCACGTGGTAGCACGTGCCTATGGTCCCAGCTGCTCGGGGAAGCTGAGATGAAAGGATCATTTGAACCCGGGAGATCCAGACTGCATTGAGTCATAATTGCGCCACTGCACCCCAGCCTGGCCGACAAAGCAAGACCCTGTCTCAAAACTAAAATAAGAATAAAAATAGGCCAGGCGCAGTGGCTCACACCTGTAATCCCAACACTTTGGGAGGGAGTTTGAAACCAGCCTGGCCAACAAGGTGAAACCCCATCTCTACTAAAAATACAAAAATTAGCCAGGGGTGGTGGTGGGCGCCTGTAATCCCAGCTACTCGGGAAGCTGAAGCAGGAGAATTGCTTGAACCTGGGAGGCAGAGGTTTCAGTGAGCCGAGATTGTGCCACTGCACTCCAGCCTAGGCAACAAGAGTGAAACTCTATCTCAAAATAAAATAAATAAAAATAAGTTGGGCCACACTGATTATTTCCTGGCCCCACGCCTAATATTTTATCCATTGAAAACCTGCCAAAGTGCAACTGGGACCAGCTTTCTTCAACGGGGGCAGCAGAGAGGGCCTGACTGGGATGTTGCTGTGTGTTTGCTACCAGTGTAAGTTTCTGGGTTTCTGTGGATGCATAAATATGTGGAGTAGGAGACGGTGGTCTTGTCTGCGTGGCTGGACTTCGAGGTCTTCCTCGATGTCTGTTGCTCAACACTGTAGAGAGGCAGTGTGGGGGTGCCTGTCCCACCTCTCCCACCCACAGGATGTGTGACCTGGGGCAAATGACTCACCTCTTTGTGCCTTAGTTTCTTCATGTATATAAAAATTGGATGATGATAATAATAGGGTTATTCTGAAGATTAAATGAGATTGCCCATGTAATGTGCTTAAAACACTGCTGGCCACTTATGAGAAAGTAGCTAATACCATCAGCTTATATGTAGTAGACATGCTTAAGTGTGTAACCTGTGGGTTTCTGTATATTTACACAGGACACCTGTGGTGTACAATGGAGAGGATATGAGGGCCTGGCGGGGACGAGCTCTCTGTGATTTGTGGAGGAGATGTGCTTATATAAGTATGTGCACAAAGGTGTGTGTGCTTGTGTACACATACGTGTGTGTTGTGTGTACAGCAGATGCATGCGCCTTCTGCACATGTGTGAGGATGTTCACCGCCAGGACCCAGGTTACCACACAAACAGTCTCCATCCCTAGGATAAGTCACTGAGGCTCACGTGTGCCTCAGTACCTTCATCTGTACAATGGGTGGAGTCACTACCCCAAAGGGAGCTGTGAGGCCCAAGTGAATTGAGGATGTGAAGTTCTGAGCCATTGCAAAGTGCCAGTTACATAGTAGTGGCTTGTGCTATGTGTTCTGAGAGAGCTGGGCTTACTTATTGACGCTCCTGGGTTCCTAAGTGCCAACGCTGTTTGTGTGGGCTGCAGAGTTCGCCCTGCTGTACCGAAGATCCCAGCCTGTTGTAGTCAGAAGAGCCAGAATTGGAAACCTACCAAAGCGAAACTGGGAACAGCCTTCTTCACTGGGGGCAGCAGTTTCAGTTCAATTTCTTCACTGGGGCATCCAAGGCCCAAAGAAGGGTAAGAACTTGCCTCAAGACACCCAGCACGCTGGAGGCAGAGATGGGGTTAGATCGAACCAGTCTCTCTTGTCCTTCTGGCATAGTGGGAGAACCCCCACAGGGGTCAGGGATTGCAGCCCTCACCCCTCACTGCTCTGCCCTCCCCACCTTCCCCAGCATCCAGCCGTCACTGCTCCAGCAGAAAGGTGTGTGCTTTGGCAGCCGCACTGTCTGGGCTGCCTGTGGTGGGAATTCCACATGTCTGGAGAGGACCCGTCTGCAGTAGTCCAGTCCCAGCCCCCAGCCCTGCTTCACCGACTGGTCCAGGGTTTGGCCTGCTTCCCCGAGACTAGGTTCAGCCTGGGAATACTCAGAGGTTGCTAGAAGAGTAGTCTGAGGATTGCAAATTCTTCATCTGTGTTTTTTATATAACACCTTTCTGTTGTAAGTCTATCCCCTTGTATTTCAAAAGTAATGCTTGTTATTTTTGGGGAATACAAGTAATGAAAGAGAAGAAAATTGAACTCTTAACCTAGGACTTCAGCAACTCAGAGACCAATGAGACTTTACACACACACACACACACACACACACGTCCATTATCTACATACTCATACATTCACCTGGGGACACATGTGATCCAAGAACACTCAAACACACACGCATGTAAGTATGCTTGTACATTCATACACAAGTGCATACTCTCATAAGTACACACGTACACACAAACACATTCATACACACACTCCTAGACTGCATACTGTGTGCCAGCCACTGTACTAAGGCTCCACAAATGTTCACTCATTTCATCCTCGAAGCAAGGCTACAATGTAGGCACCATTATTTCTCCCATTTTACAGATGAGGCACACAAAGGTTGAGTAACTTTCCCAACACCTAGTTAGTGAGGGGGTGGGATAATGGAGATTTGAACCCAGATTTGTGGGCTTAATTAATTTGCTGATGAATAGGCTGTGTTTGAGTGGTATCATGACAAACATTCCCCTAGGCTTTTTTCCTTATGCATCTATATTTGGTTTGGTTAGAAAATAGCATCTTTGGCTAATATAAAAAAATTAACCGAGTGTGGTGGTGCACGCCCGTGGTCCCAACTATTCAGGAGGCTGAGGTGGAAGGATCACCTGAGCCTGGGAGGTGGAGGTTGCAGTGAGCCGAGATTGTGCCACTGCATTCCAGCCTGGACAACAGAGCGAGACTCTGTCTCAAAAGAAAAAAAAAGAAAGACAGCCTGTCCAATATGGTGAAACCCCATCCCTACTAAAAAATACAAAAATTAGCCAGGTTTGTTGGTGTGCACCTGTAGTCCCAGCTACTTGGGAGGCTGAGGTAGGAGAATCGAGGTTGCAGTGAGCCGAGATTGTGCCACTGTGCTCCAGCCTGGGCGACAAAGTGAGACAAAAAACAAAGGAAGGGGAGGGGAGGGGAGGGGAGTGGAGGGGAGGGGAGGGGAGGGGAAAGGGAAGGGAAGGGCATCCTTTTTAGATACTAACCGGGCCTGGGGTCGGGGTCAGATCTGGATTTAAATCCTGGCGTGATTGCAGACTAGCTCGCTTGACTTTGGGCTTGTTCTTTCTCCTCTCTCGGGCTCAGTTTCCTCATCTGTGAAATGAGGAACTACAGTGCCTGCTTCTGAGGGTTGGCTGAGCTTGTGTGTAAAGCACTCAACCCTGGGCCTGGCACATAGCAGGGCTCACTAGATGGGCCATATTAACTGCCTACTCCAAGGCTGGAGGGTGTTGTAGGGAAAATAGTCAGAAAATACTCTCCAGATGCAAGGTGGCTTTAATATGTCAGGATGTGGAAGGCAGGGAGAAGCCTCGGGGTCTGGGATCTTCCGTAGGGGATGAGTATTTTTTCCTGGAATCCCTGCCCTGTTGCTACATCACTACCCTGACCATTTGCCCAGCCCAGCCCTACACGCTTCAGGTGAAAGCAGAGAGAGAGGGGGCGGGAGAGAAAAGCCCATCAAGCAGCAGGCGGAGCCTCCCTGCAGGAGTCTGGCCTGGCTGGAAGGGGAGGGGGCTGTGGGGCCAGGGACGTCAGATGCCAACAGCGCCCAGGGGACCCTTAAAGTCGCTGCGTTGCCAGGTGGGCGAGGGTGTCGGCAGAGGTCCCCTGCCTCCTCGGCTGCCTCCTGAAGCCGCCTGGGCTACCCGTCCTGGGTACGCACCGTTGGAGCCTCCTGCCTGGTTTCTCATGCTTCTTTGTCTCTTCTCTAAGCCAATTTCTCGCTCCTTCTGTTTCTGCCTCTCTCTATCTATTTCTGTCCTCCCCAGGCCACATCATTGCCTCTCTCTCATTCTGTCTTATCTCTTTACCTTTCTATTTCTCATTCTTTTTTCTCTGTAACTTTTTTTCTATCCCCTTTTTAGTCTCCCTTTTTTCTCTGCCTCTTTCATTCCCTGCCATTGGGTTTTCTCTGTGTCTCATTCTCAATTCCTAAATTGCAGCAAACAAGGGACAAAAGGACCCTGCAATATGCCTTGGGGTAAGGTGGGCCCTGCCCTCCAAGGGCATTGACTGAGCCCACTCAAGCAGGATTGGTGAAGACGATGTCTAGGCTGGAGAGGGCTGCTGTCTGTCTCCTCGGCTGGAGGGACAGAGTCCCGGCTTTGAAGTGGTGGCACCATCTCACTCCAGGGCCATGTCTGGATTAGCCACTGTCTGGGCATTTTTTCCCCTTGCCCAACCCACTCAGTCCCCCGGGGTGGAAAGGAAGGGGTGCTGGGCATCTGGACCAGAGCTGCATCCAGGGGTCTTTGCCAGGTTCCCAGGAGGCAGCATCCTCTGGGTTAGCACTGCTGGAGAACGCTCAGGGTCTGGTGCTCCCGTATCTCTCTACCTTTCTATTTCTCATTCTTTTTTCTCTGTAACTCTTTTTTTCTGTCCCCTTTTTGTTCTCTCTTTTTTCTCTGCCTCTTTCATTCTCTGCCATTGGGTTTTCTCTGTGTCTCTTTCTGAATTCCTAAATTGCAGCAAAGCGGGGACAAACCTACCCTGCTTCGTGCCTACCCCTTCCAGGCAGTTGGCTCTGATTGCACGAGGCAGACAGACCTGTGACCCCTCTATCCAGCTATGCCCCTGCTGCCTAGCACCGTGGGCCTGGCAGGCCTGCTCTTCTGGGCTGGCCAGGCAGTGAACGCCTTGATGATGCCTAATGCTACCCCGGCCCCAGCCCAGCCCGAGAGCACAGCTGTGCGGCTCCTGAGTGGCCTGGGGGTGCCCAGGTACCGCCGGAGGCGCCACATCTCTGTGAGAGACATGAATGCCTTACTGGATTATCACAACCACATCCGGGCCAGCGTGTACCCACCTGCTGCCAACATGGAATACATGGTGAGTCCCCGTGCCCACCCCCCCACTCCCTGCAGTGCCCCTTCTGGCAAATGCAGCCAACTCATCTTGGCCTAGAATGACTGGCTTTTAAGAGCTGGACCACTTGCCTGCCTGGCCCCACTAGCCAGTATCTGGGTGTCGACCTGTGGAAAGGGCAGGAGTTAATCTGCCCATTTTACAGATGAGGAAACTAAGGAAGTTACACAGCTCTTCCCGTGAGTCAGGGGCATGGGACTACGATGTAAGGGACGCCTTTGTGCACCAGGCACTGTACGTGAGTATCATCTCCATTTTCCAGAGGAATAAACTGAGACTCAGAGAATTAATTTGCCCAAGGTCACCCAGCCAGGATTTCAAACCAGGCCTGCCTGCTGCCACCTGGCATCACCACAACTGTTAACCATCGCAATCCCCTACCCAAGAATTTTGGCTCCCCACACTGGGGACCTGCACGGGGGTGTGTGGCTGGTGCTTTCCATGCTATTGTCTCTTTGCCCTAAGGGTTTGACTGACACACCCACACCATCCTCCACAAGCCGCTGGAGGCAGGCTTGGAGCAGTGGGGACAGGTACTGGGGAATCTCAGGCTGAGGAAAACCAGCAGCTGACCAGCAGAGGAAGCTGGGATGTCTCCCCTCAAAGAGGCAGGGCTGGTGGCTCTCACTCCAGCCCCCAAGAAGTCAGAGGAGGGCACCAACCTCTTTCTTATAGCTCCTCCCCTAGGGCCATTGTCCAAAATCAGCCTAGAAGGATGGGTTTCCAGCCCACCCAGAGATGTCTTTAGGGAGTTTGCCAGTCTGCCCCCTGAAAGACCAACACATGCCACTCGATAGCCTGAAAACTTAACTTTTTCATCGTATCCATTGACTTATCCTTGGAGTACACTTGGAACCAGGCACCGTGCTAAGCCTTATGGACACTGCTGGGAACAGAATGGGCAAGGCTCCTTCCTTCATGGAGCTGACACTTTAGTGGGAATAAGAAAACAAGCATCAACAACAAGATATTAATATATATAAGGTAACGTGAGGTGGCAATACGGTGTTGGGAGGGGTGGGGGGAATAGGAGCTGGGACGGTAGGCAGCTAGAACACAGGGGAGCCATTGACTTGTTCATTCATTTGTTAGCACCTAGAACGCCCTCCATTTTTCAAACAAATGGCACATTTATTGAGCACCTGTTGTGTGTGTGTGGCACCTGCCCCAACAGCTGTTTAATGACTGCAGGCGTCATGGAGCAGAAAGGGTTAGATGTTTCACGAGGGACTCCAGGGAGGGCATGAACATGTAGGTTTCATGTTTAGCCTGCTCCTTCCCTCAGTTTACCCCAATGTAGCATGAGGGAAGCATTCCTCCGCTCTCCCTAAAAGACTAGGCCAGACGGCTGGGTGCGGTGGCTCACGCCAGTAATCCCAGCACTTTGGGAGGCCAAGGCGGGTGGATCACCTGAGGTCACGAGTTCCAGACCAGCCTGGCCAACATGGTGAAACCCAGTCTCTACTAAAAATACAAAAATTAGCTGGGTGTGGTGATGGGCGCCTGTAATCCCAAGCTACTTGAGAGGTGGAGGCAGGAGAATCGCTTGAACCTGGGAGGCGGAAGTTGCAGCGAGCCGAGATCCTGCCAGCCTGGGTGAAACTCTATCTAAAAAAAAAAAAAAAAAAAAAAAGATTGGGCCAGACAACCCCGGGAAGGTACCTGGACCCCTCTTTGGATGCCCCATTTCTCCCTCCCTAGCTGACTTCTCCTCACAGAACAGGCTGTCCAACTCAACAGCCTTTGTCCCAGCAGCCCTTCTCTCACTGCCCCAAGAAAGTTTGGCTCCCATTTCTCATTCTCACACCGACCAGGACTATAATGATCAGCGACTTGTTGAAGGCCTTGTTGCCTTGCTACCCTGAGTCCTCAGTGCCTAGAGATGTTGTTTGATATTTGATGAATGAACAAATCCTATCTCAGAGAATCCCAGGAAGTCAGAGCTGGAAGGGAACTCGTATTTTATTGACATATTTTCCGGTTATAAAACTTGGGGAGTTCATACATTGGAAGGTTATAAAACTGTTGAGGATGAGGAGGGCATTCACCATGTACTGATGAGGAATAATCCCTAAGATGAAAGAGCAAGGTGCAGAATAGAATGCTGCCATTTGCATGTGTGTGTGTGTGTGTGTGTGTGTGTGTGTGTCTATATATAGAGAGCTGCTTGTACAGGTACAGAATATATACCTGTATACAGAGGACACAAGAAGCAGTGGTGACTGCCTCTTGGGATGGCATGCAGGGTGGTGGGGTTGGGGGACAAGTATAGGAGAGAGATGAGACTTTCTACTGTTCCTCCTTGGATATCTATTTTTTTTGTTGTTGTTGACACAGAATCTTGCTGTTGCCCAAGCTGGAGTGCAGTGGCACGATCTCAGCTCACTGCAACCTCTGCCTCCTGGGTTCAAGCAATTCTTGTGCCTCAGCCTCCCAACTAGCTGGGACCACTGACACACGCCACCACGCCTAACTAATTTTTGTATTTTTTTTTTTAAGACAAAGTTTCACTCTTGTTGCCCAGGCTGCAGTACAATGGTACGGTCTCAGCTCACTGCAACCTCCGTCTCCCAGGTTCAAGTGATTCTCCTGCCTCAGCCTCCCAAGTAGCTGGGATTATAGGTGCCCACCACCACACCCGGCTAATTTTTATATTTTTAGTAGAGACAGGGTTTCACTATGTTGGCCAGGCTGGTCTTGAACGCCTGACCTCAGGTGATCCGCCCACCTCGGCCTCCCAAAGTGCTGGGATTACAGGTGTGAGCCACCATGCCTGGCCTAATTTTTGTATTTTTAGTAGAGAGGGAGTTTCTCCATGTTGGCCAGGATGGTCTCGAACTCCTGATCGCAAGTGATCTGCCTGCCTCAGCCTCCCAAAAGTGCTGAGATTACAGGCGTGAGCCATCATGCCCAGATGGATATCTTACATATTAAAATTATGCATATTTTCACAATTTAAAAAAGTCTTTGAATTAAACATTTTTAATGTTAAAATAAACACATTTAGAAGATACTGCAAGGCCGGGTGCAATCCACCTGCTTCAGCCTCTCGAAGTGCCCTGTAATCCCAGCACTTTGGGAGGCTGAGGCAGGTGAATTGTTTGAGGCCAGGAGTTGGAGACCAGCCTGGGCAACATGGCAAAACCCTGTGTCTACAAAAATTAGCCAGGTGTGGTGGCACGCGCCTGCAGTCCCAGCTACTCAGGAGGCTGAGGTGGGAGGATGGCTTGAACCAGAAGGCAGAGGTTGCAGTGAGCTGAGATGGCGCCACTGCACTCCAGCTTGGGTGACAGAGTGAGATCCTGTCTCAAAAAAGAAAAGAAAAGAAAAAAAGAAAGAAAGAAAGAAAGAAAGAAAAAGAAAATACTATAAATACAATTTAAGAATTAGTGATTTTCTCATCCTTCTGGGTTCAGTCACTTCCAGGGACTGCTGAGAACTCCTGTATGAACACCCTCGACCCTGCTCAGAGCAGAGCCCAAGCTCAGAGTCAAGAGATCTGGGTGTGGACCCCAGCTCTGGTATGGACTCATGGTTGCCCTTCAAGTCATCAGCAAGCTGAGCCTCAGTCTTCTACTTTGTCACGGGGGTTTGTTGTAGGGTTCCAGGGAGATGCGGGAGAACCGGCACCAGGTAAATGTGCATCTCTGGACACGGTTGTGATGATGGTGGCTATTCCCCTGGAGAATTTCATTGCCTTTCTTTCCCCAGGTCTGGGACAAGCGGCTGGCCAGGGCTGCCGAGGCCTGGGCCACCCAGTGCATCTGGGCACATGGGCCTTCACAGCTGATGAGATACGTGGGCCAGAACCTCTCCATCCATTCTGGCCAGTGAGTGACCCTCTGCCCTTCCTTCACTCAGTCATTCAACAAACACTCACTGAACACTTACTCTGTACCAGGTGCTGCACTTGACACTGGGATACAGTGGTGAGCAAGGCAGACAAGCTCTCCACCTGCACGGAGCCTGCATTCTAGTTAGGAGGGGCAGGCAAAACCCTAACAAAGTTGTGTATACATTGAATTGAGGCAAGTCTTGTTTTGAGAACAAACAAGTGCACAGATCGTCATGGAAAGTGAGGAGGGATTGGAAGACTCAGAAAATAGGATAAGGGGGCCGGGCACAGTGGCTCACACCTCTAATCCCAGCACGTTGGGAGACTGAGGTGGGCAGATCACTTCAGGTCAGTAGTTCAAGACCAGTCTGGCCAGCATGGTGAAACCCCACCTCTACTGAATATGCAAAAATTAGCCCAGCATGGTGGCGCATGCCTGTAATCCCAGCTACTCGGGAGGCTGAGGCAGAAGAATCACTTGAACCCGGGAGGTGGAGGTTGCAGTGAGCTGAGATTGCACCACTGCACTCCAGCCTGAGTGACAGAGTGAGACTGTGTCTCAAAAATAATAATAAATCAATAAAGTAAAATAAAAATAAGGGGATAAAATAAAATAAAGGTAAGTCTGAGAATGGCAAGCCCACTCTTCTGGCCTGACTTTCTCACCGCCATTCTAACTCCCAAGTCAGACTCTGGGGATCTTCTGATCTGGGTGGCCTTGGGAAGTTATTTCCACTTTCTAAACTTCTAAACCTTGGTGTCCCTGTTTCTAAAACAAAGGTGTTAGCCTAGCTTAGTTCCTTCCAGACTTGTGGATTTCACAGGCCTATAAAACTGCAAAAAGACGTCTGTGAAACTGCTACAAGATGGTCAGATTTTTATTTTGCCAAATAAGGACGTTAGAAAAACAACTACCTTCCCATCTTTGCCATTCTGCCATCACCCTGGGGAGAGTGGGAAAGAATTAAGACCAGTCTTTTCAAGTGAGCTCAGTGGAAATTCAAGGCCCTGTTTGCATTTTTTTCATGTCCTTGACTGGTCACGACCAGCACCAGCCTCTGAGAGCCGTGAATGGTCACTCAAAGCCCTACAGAGCAGACGTCAGGTGATGCCTCCATTTCACTTCTCCTCTCTCCTGCCAGTGAACTCTTCCTGCCAGACTCCACCCCTACCCATGGCCATCATTTGAGAGGCTCACAGAGAGAAAGAAAGCGGTGTTAGAGACGAAGCTGTGCTGTCATAAATTACGGATGTGCATTCTTCCAGATTTTGTCCCTCACTAGTCATTTATGTATATTTTTATGTATTTGTGCCTCTGTCAAATATGTGTGATAGAAAAAGCCCTCAAAGGCCAGGGGCGGTGGCTCATGCCTGTAACCCCAGCACTTTGGGAGGCCGAAGCGAGCGGATCACCTGCGGTCAGGAGTTCGAGACCAGCCTGGCCAACATGGTGAAACCCCATCTGTACTAAAAATACAAGAATTAGCCAGGCGTGGTGGTGCACACCTGCAGTCCCAGCTACTTGGGAGGCTGAGGCACAAGAATTGCTTGAACCCAGAAGGCAGAGGTTGTAGTGAGCTGAGATCACACCACTGCACTCCAGCCTGGGCAACAGAGCGAGACTCCGTCTCAAAAAAAAAAAAAAAAAGAAAAGGCCCTCAGGTCTCCCCAGATGGCTTTTCAGACTGCAGAGGGTATCTCAGGGTGTCACACCAGTATCTGCCTTCTCCTCACATCTCAGAGGCCTAGGAGATGGTCCAAGGAGCCCTTCCTTCCCTAAAATGCAAGCTCCCCCATCTGAGAAATGCACCTCCTGCCTGGCCCTCCGTATGACAGTAACACATATGCTTTGTTGAGGACTTACCATGTGCTAGGTACAGGGAAGCACTTCACAAGGGTTCAGAACATGCCTGTGAGGCAGGGGCCACCGCCCTCCTGCTCCCAGATAGGAAACTGAGATGAAGGAAAGGAGGCAAAGTGACTCATCCAAGGTCACCAGCAAGTTGGCGGCCGAGCCACTTTTCCATCCTCTCACCCAGCTTCTTCTGTGCCCCCCGCCTCCCCAGGTACCGGTCCGTGGTGGATCTCATGAAGTCCTGGTCTGAGGAGAAGCGGCATTACTTGTTTCCCGCCCCGAGGGACTGTAACCCACACTGCCCCTGGCACTGCGATGGCCCCACCTGCTCCCACTATACCCAGGTACTCCTCCGTCAGGGCTGGGGGCCCTGGGATAACACATCCTGCTGCCTTAGAAGAAAAGGAATGTGTGGAGCAGATATGAGAATGCAAACAAAGACCTTTATGAGCTTCTTTTCACCAAAGAAGCATATTCCTGGAAAGTTGTGTGCACACTGAACTGAGGCGAATCATTTTTGTTTTTTGTTTGTTTGTTTGTTTTTTGAGACAGAGTCTCACTCTGTTGCTGAGGCTGGGGTGTAGTGGTGAGAGCTCGGCTCACTGCAACCTCCACCTCCTAGGTTCAAGCGAAACTCCGTCCCCACCCCCAAAATTAAAATAGTTATATATATATAAAGAAAGAAAACGACTGGGTGCAGTGGCTCATGCTTATAATCCCAGTAACTTGAGAGGCTGAGATGGCAGGATTTCCTGAATGCAGGAGTTTGAGACCAGCCTAGGCAACACAGCAAGACCTCATTTCTAAAAACCTTTTTAAAAATGGTGAGGCTTGGCCAGGCGACGTGGCTCATGCCTGTAATCCCAGCACTTTGGGAGGCCAAGGGGGTGGATCACGAGGTCAGGAGATCGAAACCATCCTGGCTAACACGGTGAAACTCCATCTCTACTGAAAATACAAACAATTAGCCAGGCGTGGTGGCATGTGCCTGTAATCTCAGCTACTTGGGAGGCTGAGGCAGGATAATCACTTGAACCCAGGAGGCAGAGGTTGCAGTGAGCCAGGATCACACTACTGCACTCCAGCCTGGCCAACAGAGCGAGACTCTGTCTCAAAAAAAAAAAAAAAAAAAAATAGGCTTGATGGTGCACACCTTTAGTCCAAACTACTTGGGAAGCTGAGACAGGAGGATCGCTTGAACCCAGGAGGTTGAGGTTGCGGTGAGCTATGATCCTATCACTGCAATCCAGCCTGGGTGACAGTGAGATCCACCTCTCTAAAAATAATAATTTAAAAAGGAAATGAATAGAAGAATATAGAAAATATATTGGCTGTCCGGGTGTGGTGGCTGACACCTGCAATCGTAGCACTTTGGGAGGACGAGGTGGGCAGATCACCTGAGGTCAGGAGTTGAAGACCAGCCTGGCCAACATGATGAAACCCCATCTCTACTAAAAATCCAAAAAATTAACTAGGTGTGCTGGTGGGCACCTATAATCCCAGCTACTCGGGAGGCTGAGGCAGGAGAATCACTTGAAGCCAGGAGGCAGAGTTTGCAGTGAGCCACTGCACTCCAGCCTGGGCAACAGAGCAAGATCTTTCTCAAAAAAAAAAAAAAAAAGAAAAAAGAAAAAGAAAAGAAAAAGAAAGAAAATATGTTGGCTAATAAAAAAAGAACAAAATCATGTATTTTTGCAGGAACATGGATGGAGCTGGAGGCCATTATCCTTAACAAACTAATGCAGGAACAGAAAACCAAATACCACATTTCTCATTTATAAGTAGGAGCTAAATGATGAGAACACATGGACACGGGAGGGGGGAACAACACACACTGGGGCCTGTCAGAGGGTGGAGGGCAGGAGGAGAGAAAGCATCAGAAAAGATAACTAACGAGCACTAGGCCTAATTCCTGGTGATGAAACAATCTTTACAAACCCCGGTCACAAGAGTTTACCTATGTAACAAACTGAACATGTCCCCCTGAACTTAAAACAAAAGGTAAACAATCCAAAAAAGAAAAAAAAAAAAGAAACCCAGATACTTTATTTCAAATTATTAAAAACATTAGAGGGCTGGGTGCAGTGGCCCGCACCTGTAATCCCAGTACTTTGGGAGGCTGAGGCGAGTGGATCTCCTGAGGTCAGGAGTTCGAGACCAGCCTGGACAACATGGCAAAACCGCATCTCTACTATAAATACAAAAAATTAGCTGGGCATGGTGGTGCACGCCTGTAGCCCCAGCTACTTGGGAGGCTGAGGCAGGAGAATCACTTGAACCTGGGAGGCAGAGGTTGCAGTGAGCCAAGATATCACCACTGCACTCCAGCCTGGGTGACCGCGAGACTGTCTCCAAATAAATAAATAAATAAATAAATAAAAGCATTAGTGACTGTCAGAAAAAAGAAAATATATTGGCTAGTCTGAAGGTAGTGTGTTCTCTCAATTGATTGTTTACAGTCAGTTACAGATTCAACTCCCTTCTCACAGCTGCCCTTGACTGAGTTCAGTATGAAATGAAAGAAAACATATCACACATGATAACATGACAAGGCTAGTGATTCATAAAATTCTTGTTCAAATTGTGTGTATATATGTGTCTATTTGTACACCTGTAACAATATAAAAATTATTCCCTACTGTTGTAGTAAAAAGAAAAAAAAAATAAGATTGAGAAACATTATGTTACAATACAAATGCCTCCGTTTCCTCCCCTAACACCTTGGAACAGGCAGACTGTCTCTCCCAGGAAGACGTCACCCAATGCAACTGTACAACCCCAGGGAGCCCAGGTCCCACTGAGCCCTTCTCATAGCCTCCACTGTCTCTGTCCTTCATCAGATGGTGTGGGCATCCTCCAATCGGCTGGGCTGCGCCATCCACACCTGTAGCAGCATCAGCGTCTGGGGCAACACCTGGCATTGGGCGGCATACCTGGTCTGCAACTACGCCATTAAGTAAGTGCCCGCATCTAAGGCAAAGGGCGCCCTGGGGCAGGAGGGTGGGTCCTGAGAAGTCAAAGAAAGATACAGTCCCGGCCCGGCGCAGTGGCTCAAGCCTGTAATCCCAGCACTTTGGGAGGCCGAGACGGATGGATCACGAGGTCAGGAGATCGAGACCATCCTGGCTAACACAGTGAAACCCCGTCTCTACTAAAAAAATACAAAAAACTAGCCGGGCGAGGTGGCGGGCGCTTGTAGTCCCAGCTACTCGGGAGGCTGAGGCAGGAGAATGGCGTGAACCCAGGAGGCGGAGCTTGCAGTGAGCTGAGATCCGGCCACTGCACTCCAGCCTGGGCGACAGAGCGAGACTCCGTCTCAAAAAAAAAAAAAAAAAAAAGATACAGTCCCTATCCCTTCTTCATTCTAAGTGCCCTCAATACCATATAATTTGGGTAGTTTTTTTATTAAGGCCGAGCACGGTGGTTCATGCCTGAAATCCCAGCACTTTGGGAAGCCAAGCTGGGCAGATCCCTTGAGTCCAGGAGTTCAAGATCAGCCTGGGGAACACGGCAAGACCCTGTCTCTTAAAAAAAAATTAGCTGAGTGTTGTGGTGCTCATCTGTAGTCCCAGCTACTGGGGGAGGAGTGAGACAGGAGGGTCACATGGGGGTAGAGGCTGCAGTGAGCCATCATCATGCTACTGCACTCCAGTCTATGCAAGAGTTAGAAACTGTGTAAGAGTGAGAAACTGTCTCCAAAAAAATAAAAGTCAATTAATAGTCCTTCCTTCCTTCCTTCCTTCATTCCTTCCTTCCTTTCTCTTTCTTTCTTTAGAGGCCTTGCTCTGTTGGCCAGGCTGGAGTGCAGTGGCGTGATCTCAGCTCGCTGCAGCCTCCACTTCCCAGGTTCAAGCAATTCTCCTGCCTCAGCCTCCTGAGTAGCTGGGATTACAGGCATCTGCCACCATGCCCAGCTAATTGTTGTATTTTTACTAGAGACAGGGTTTCACCATGTTGGCCAGACTGGTCTCAAACTCCTAACCTCAGGTGATCTGCCTGCATTGGCCTCCCAAAGTGCTGGGATTACAGGAGTGAGCCACTGCGCCCGGCCTATTTTCCCTTCTCTTTTTGAGACAAGGTCTCACTCTGTCACCCAGGCTGGAGGACAGTGGCACAGTCACAGCTCACTACAGCCTCGACTGGCTGGACTCAAGTAACCCTCCTCACTTCAGCCTCTCAAGTAGCTGGGACTATAGGTGCAGGCCACCATGCCTGGCTAATTTTTTTGTTTTTTGTAGAGACAGGGGTCTTACTATGTTGCCCAGGCTGGTCTTGAACTCCTAGGCTCAAGCAGTCCTCCTGTCAAGGTCTCCCAAAGTGCTGGGATTACAGGCATAAGCCACCCTGCCCAGCCCAATAATCCTTTTCCTTTACCCAAGTGTGAGAATCACGGAGAGAGACAGGACTGACACAGGTGGAAAGACGGTGTTGCTGAAGTCAGTAGTGGAGAATGTGGTTTAGATCTGCCGATACGCCAGCCAAGTAGGCTTACAAATATCTCACTACTGAATTAGACCTACACATCCAGTGGCAGGTAACACTGGACAGCCAAAGGCCCCTTCTTACAAGTACAGGGCCAGCACTCTAAGCTTACGACAAAGAAAAATACAGCCAAGAACACATGCTCCCTGCAGGGAGGCAGATCCCAAAGAAAAGGAAGGAGGAATGAGTGTGCTTAGCTCCTCCAGTTTGCTGGGTGGGAGAGAGTTTAGGAGATGCCTTCATACAAGCCTCTTGGAAACAGGGAGCAAGCGTAATGAAACTTGCAGACATCACAGATTCTCAAAGAAAAACAAGAACAGGCCAGGTGCGGTGTCTTACGCCTGCAATCCCAGCACTTTGGGAGGCCGAGGTGGGTGAGTCACTTCAGGTTAGGAATTTGAGACCAGCCTGGCCAACATAGCGAAACCTCGTGTCTACCAAAAATACCAAAATTAGCCGAGCGTGGTGGCGCGTGCCTGTAATCCCAACTACTTGGGAGGCTGAGGCAGGAGAATTGCTCGAGCCTCAGAAGTGGAGATTGCAGTGAGCTAAGATCACACCACTGCACTCCAGCCTGTGCAACAGAGAAAGACTCCGCGTGTCAAACAACAACAACAACAACAAAAACGAGAACAAATTATTTATTTATTTATTTATTTATTTATTTATTTATTTATTTTGAGATGGAGTCTTGCTCTGTCACCCGGGTTGGAGTGCAGTGGCGCGATCTTGGCTCACTGCAAGCTCCACCTCCCGAGTTCATGCCATTCTCCTGCCTCAGCCTCCCAAGTAGCTGGGACTACAGGTGCCCACCACCACACCTGGCTGATTTTTTGTATTTTTAGTAGAGACGAGGTTTCACTGTCTTAGCCAGGATGGTCTCCATCTTTTGACCTTGTGATCCGCCCGCCTTGGCCTCCCAAAGTGCTGGGATTACAGGCGTGAGCCACCACGCCTGGTAAAACAAGAATAAATTTTAAGTAAACATGATATTTAGAATTCCTTTTTTTCTTTTCTTTTTTCTTTTTTTTTTTTTTTTCTGAGACAAGGTCTTGCTCTGTTGCCCAGGCTGGAATGCAATAACCAGATCATAGCTCACTGCAGCCTCAAACTCCTGGATTCAAGCAATCCTCCCACCTCACCCTCCTGAGTAGCTGGGAGTACAGGCATGCATCACCACACCTGGCTAATTTTTAACATTTTTGTAGAGATGGTGGTCTCATTATGTTGCCTAGGCTGGTCTTGAACTCCTGGCCTCAAGCAATCTCCCTACTTGGCTTCCCAAAGTGCTGGGATTATAGGTGTGAGCCACCCACCGTGCCTGCCCCAGAATTCCAAAATTACTTAATAACCACATTTTACTGTCACATAGCCTTTGATCATTTGCAAACTACTTTCACATTATCTCACTGAAGACATGAAAAAGGAAAAAGGGGGGAACACTAGTAAAACATTATTTCTTTTTACAAATTAAGAAATTGAGGCTCAGGGAAGTTGAGTAATTTACCAAATGTCACAAAACCAATAAGTAGTAGAGCTGGTTCAAAAGAATCAGTTTTTGATTTCAAATTCCTTCTATTGCATTATTCTGATGTTCTTGAAGTCATTAGTAGCCTGAAAAAAATTATCAAAATAAGATACTTGTTGTTTGTTAGATATGGCATCTATTGACAAAGTGTCACATTACAGCCCAGCTTTATCAGACACAGAAGAATACAAAAACAAATTCCATTACAAACAGCTTCTAATATATATATATATATATATTTTTTTTTTTTTTTTACAGTGGCGAGGCCACAGCTCACTGCAGCTTCGACCTCCCAGGCTCAAGTTTTCTAGTTTGTTTGTTGACATATCAAATGTTTGAAGCATTGAGTGTTATTAGTATAGTTGTTAAGATTTTTAGCCTCTGGGGCCAAGACTGGCAGGGTTCAAATTTGTGTTCTTACTTAACTTCTCCATTCCTGTTTCTTCATCTGCAAAATGGGAATAAAATAATATCTAGTCTTGGAACTGAGTGAGATAACCCAGGTAATACCCCCAGGCTGATAATAAATGGGGAATAAGACTGATTCCTATTGTTATTACAATAGACCTAGGCTTGATTCCCCTCTGCAATGCATGTACGAAGCATTTGAATACATCATTTTATCTCAGGCCTCGGCCTTCCCCTTCCCTTCTTTCCTTCCCCTTTCCTTTTCCCTTTCCCATTTCCCCTTTCTCCTTTCTCCTTTCCTTTGCTTTCTTTTCTTCTGTCTGGCCCTGTCACCCAGGCTGGAGTACAGTGGCAGAATCTCAGCTCTGCTACCCCCACCTTCCCAGTTCAAGCAATCCTCACACCTCAACCTCCCCTGCGGTTGGGACTACAGGTGTTTACAACCATGCTTGGCTATGTTTTGTTTTCTGTTTTTGTTTTTTGTAGAGACGGGGTCTTGCCATGTTGCCCAGGCTAGTCTGGAACTCCTGGGCTCAAGCGATCTGCCCACCTCAGTCTCCCAATGTGCTGGGACTACAGGCATGAGCCACCAAGCCCAGCCCCTTTGGGGGTTAATACTACCTGGCTCACAGAATTTAAGGATTAAAATATAATGTGAGGCCGGGCATGGTGGCTCACGCCTGTAATCCCAGCACTTTGGGAGGCCAAGGCAAGTGGATCACCTGAGGTCAGTGACCAGCCTGACCAACATGGTGAAACCCCATCTCTACTAAAAGTACAAAAATTAGCCAGGCATGGTGGTGCGTGCCTGTAGTTCCAGCTACTCGGGAGGCTGAGGCAGGAGAATCGCCTGAACCCGGGAGGCGGAGGCTGCAGTGACCCGAGATCATGCCACTGCACTCTAGCCTGGATGACAATGCAAGACTCTGTCTCAAATTAAAATAAAATAAAATAAGCCTCTGTGGTGCCTTGCCCATAGTACCTGCTAAATAAATGGTGGCCATGACTAGAACTAAGTTATAAACTCTTGGGCGTGGGAAAGCCACCGTTTTCATTTCTTTTTTTTTTTTTTTTTGAGACGGAGTCTCCCTCTGTCGTCCAGGCTGGAGTGCAGTGGCGCGATCTCCGCTCACTGCAAGCTCCGCCTCCCGGGTTCACGCCATTCTCCTGCCTCAGCCTCCCGAGTAGCTGGGACTACAGGCACCTGCCACCACACCTGGCTGATTTTTTTTTGTATTTTTAGTAGAGACGGGGTTTCACCGTGTTAGGCAGGATGGTCTCGATCTCCTGACCTCGTGATCTGCCCGCCTCGGCCTCCCAAAGTGCTGGGATTACAGGCATAAGCCACCGCGCCCGGCTGACCGTTTTCATTTCTATATCCTTCTACTACAGCGATTGCAACCCTTTGTTTTTTTAAGCAGAACTTTTTTCTAAGTGGTTAAATTAAACAAAAAAAGAACTCCATGTCATCCCAGGTGTCACCACCCCCACTCTCCCTGCCCCCAAACTTCTGAGAGCACCTTTTGAAAACTGAACTGAATAGCAGCTGGCACAAATTCTGATGTTCAATAGGTGCTCCGGAAGTGTTTGTTGAATGACTAAATGACCGAATGAGTCCTGTTAGGAAACCAGCAGTGAGTGTTTTTCTGAGCACTTCAGCTGATTTCACTCACGGTCACTCAACAATCACGTTTGGAGAAAAAAGATTCTATTTCTGCTCAAAGGTGTGTTCATTTAAGGTGTGAGAAAACAAGGCATTAGGGCTTGGCAAAGATAATGAATGTCTCAGGCCGGTGGTGAGATTATCAGGCAACCACAAGCAAGGGCCAGAGGAACAATTTTAGGCTCTGAAAGGAGAAAGAGGGAGAAAAAGACTGAGCATGGTGGCTCACGCCTGTAATCCTAACACTTTGGGAGACCAAGGTGGGCAGATCACTTGAGGTCAGGAGTTCGAGACCAGCCTGGCCATATGGTGAAACCCCGTCTCTACTAAAAATACAAAAATTAGCCAGGTGTGGTAGCACGTGCCTATAATCCCAGCTACTCAGGAGGCTGAGGCATGAGAATCGCTTGAACCCAGGAGGTGGAGGCTGCAGTGAGCTGAGATCACGCCACTGCAATCCAGACTGGGTGTCAGAGTGGGACTCCCTCTCAAAACAAAACAAAGAAAAAGAATAAGAAAATCAACGCTTACAGGGGAGGCACTAATTGGTAAGGCACTAATTGGCCAGGCACAGTGCTAGGTGCATACATACATGTGATCTTTGCTGAATCCCTTAGAAAGAGGAGGTCTTCTCTTGGTTTACAAGAGAAACCAAGGTTTACAGGTTGGGCACAGTGGCTCATGCCTGTAATCTCAGCACTTTGGGAGGCTGAGGCAGGAGGACTGCTTGAGTCCAGAAGTTCCAGACCAGCCTGAGCAGTATAGTGAGACCCCCATCTCTGCAAATAATTAAAAAATTAGCTGGGCATGGTGGCATGTGCCTGTAGTCTTAGCTACTCAGAAGACTGAGTTGAGAGGATTGCTTGAGCCCAGGACGTCAAGGCTGCAGTGAGCTATGGGTGACAGCAACACCCTGTCTCAAAAACAAAAAACAAAACAAAAATTAAAAAAAAAAAAGGAAAGAAAAAAAGAAACCAAGGCTTGCAGATGTGACTTGCCCCAGGTCCCGGGGCTGGTCAGTGGCAGCGCTGAGATCTGGACATCTGTGTGAAGGTTGCTCACCTAATGCTCCTCTGTCTCCCTGGGACCTTTTCTCTTCCAGGGGCAACTGGATTGGCGAGGCTCCGTACAAGATGGGAAGGCCGTGCTCCGCCTGTCCCCCCAGTTACCAAGGTAGCTGCAATAGCAACATGTGCTTCAATGGGCTGAAATCCAACAAGCTCCCGTGATTCTGAATTTTCCCTGGGCTTTGGTGTGCCGCCAGCTGGGCCTGACCCTCCATGTCCTGCCCTCAAAAAACTGGGTGGAGAAATAATTTCTTCTTCAAAGGAGATAAATTAGAATTACCCCCTATTTAATTTTCCCTCCTAGATTCCCTTTCTTAAATGTCCAACATGGGTCAAAAGAAGATGACCTCCTTGCCTGCCTTCTTTCCTAGTTGCATCTTTCTTTTTGTGGGCCTCCGGGAAAGAGTCCTGCATCTTTCATTAATTCAGTTCTCAGAGAACCAAGGCTGGAAGGCATAGAACTGGCACCTTAGGACCAGGCATAATGGCTCACACCTATAATCCCAGCATTTTGGGAGGCTGAGGTGGGAGAATCACTTGAGTCCTGGAGTTGGAGAACAGCCTGGAAAGCATGGCAATACCCCATCTCTATTTAAAAACAAACAAACAAACAAAAAACCTGGCACCTCAGTTTTGTAACTCTCAGGCTTTGCCAAACCCAAATGACTTTGTCCATCCAATGAAAGGAATTCCACCAGGTGTGGCTGTTCACACCTGTAATCCCAGCATTTTGGGAGGCTGAGGTGGGTGGATCACCTGAGGTCAACAGTTTGAGACCAGCCTGGCCAACATGGTGAAACTCCATCTCTACTAAAAAGACAACAATTAGCCAGGAGTGGTGGCTCTCGCCTATAATCCCAGCTACTCGGGAGGCTGAGGCAGGAGAATCGCTTGAACCTGGGAGGCGGAGGTTGCAGTGAGCAGAGACCGAGCCACTGCACTGCAGCCTGGGGACACAGCGAGACTCTGTCTAAAAAAAGGAAGGAAGGAAGGAAGGAAGGAAGGAAGGAAGGAAGGAAGGAAGGAAGGAAGGAAGGAGGGAGGGAGGGAGGGAGGGAGGGAGGGAAGGAAGGAGGGAGGGAGGGAAGGAAGGAAGGAAGGAAGGAAGGAAGGAAGGAAACCTGCTTTCATTCATTCCATAACAGTCAACCAGTTTCTGGGCAGCCTTTGAGGACTTGTGATTCCCTCCCTGAGTCGGGCGCATTTCAGATCCATGATTTCAAAAAACATTGAAATTGGCTTGTGGACATCCCCCACCCCCACCCCCACTGCATGGTATTGGAGCCACCACAGAGTCTAGGCCCCCCTTTTTACAGATGGGTACACTGAGGCTCAGAGCAGGGTGTAACTTACCCAGAGCTGCACAGCTTATCTTTGATGGCCAAGGTGGGAGCTCAGTCTCTGACGGCCCCTTCCCACTTCCTCGGCTCTCAGAACTGAGAAGTGAAAACCAAAGATGGCCTGAGGGGACCCTCTCTGGGCCTTTTTTTCTCTTTCCGTCTCTGCCTCGGTCTCTCTCTTTTGTCTACTGTCCGTTCTATCCCTGCCTGTTTTTGTTTCTGTCTGTGTCTCTGATTCTTTTTCTTCCATATCATCTTACTCTCATTCCAATAAACCATTTCTCCTCTCCCCGCCATCCCACCCAGGGATCATAGCACACAAAAGTCCTTTTGTCTCCAGAGATAGTAAAATCTCCTCCCTCAGACCTTGCCCTGCAGCTGGGGCCCACTCCCTGCCTGTCTGGAGAGCTCCTCCTTTGAAGACCTGGGATGGAAAACAGGCCCTTTTCCGTGGAGTCCCTACATTGTCCTGGATGGAATGAGTTTTCTCATCCTGTGCATGTCACCCCCTCCCATCCCACCCCCCAATAAAGTCTTTTGAGATCCCGTGTAGTGGCTCTTTCTGGTCCCCCCTTCTCTCAGCTCCCAAGAGGGTCAAAAGACAAGGAATGGGAACTGGGTGGGGGAAGATGGGTGAGAGGAAAACCAGCTCAACTGGAAGACCAGGGGAAGGAACTAACAGCGCTTTGGGCCCTGCTCTGCAGAAGGCTAGATCGATGCACAAGTGCATGCACATACACTATTGCTCCATTTTACAGATGAGATAAATGAGGCGTGGAGTGAGTACTAATTTCTAAATGCTGGAAATGAGTGAAATAAGAGAATTAAGAGGTCAGGCGTCGTGGCTCATGCCTGTAATCCCAGCATTTTGGGAGGCCAAGGCGGTCAGATAGTTGAGGCCAGGAGTTCGAGGCCAGGAGTTCGAGACCAGTCTGGGCAACACAGTGAAACCCTGTCTCTACTAAAATTACAAAAATTAGCCAAGCATGGTGGGGCACGCCTGTAATCCCAGCTACTCAGGAGGCTGAGACACCAGAATTGCTTGAACACAGGAAGTGGTGGTTGCAGTGAGCCAAGACTGCACCACTGCACCCCAGCCTGGGTGACAGAGCAAGTCTGTGTCTCAAAAAAAAAAAAAAAAAGAGAGAGAGAATTAAGGACACTGTTGTGAGTTCATTATTCTTAGACTATATCTTTCCTACTTTATTTTTTGGAATGGGCTCCTGAAGGCAGTATCAGAAATGGAAAACCCAAGAGATCACATGGAATTCCCACCTTACAGTGGCACTTTTTGCTTGTCTCTTCCCTGGCAGGGTGGCTCACACCTGTAATCCCAGCACTTTGGGAGGCTGAGGAAGGTGGATCACCTGAAGTCAGGAGTTCCAGACCAGCCTGACCAACATGGTGAAACCCCGTCTTTACTAAAAATACAAAATTAGCTGGGCGTGGTGGTGCGCACCTGTAATCTCAGCTACTTGGGAGGCTGAGGCAGGAGAATCGCTTGAACCCAGGAGGCAGAGGTTAAAGTGAGCTGAGATTGTGCCATTGTACTCCAGTCTGGGCAACAAGACAACAAAACTCTGTCTCAAAAAAAAAAAAAAAGAACAGATTCAATGAAGCTTCTTGAGCCTGTTTTTGTATCTGTAAAATGGGAATATTGACTGGGACAATTCAATGACATTAAGAACATACAATGCTGACAAAACTAACCAGTTCATAAATGCCAGTGGTTGTCATTCTCATTATCCTGGTGCTCAATAAGGCGATGTGAGACCTGTTGAAACAGCATGGACTTTGGGGTCAGATGATGCTGAATTCTAGTTCTGTGTCAGCTCCTTCCTAGTTATGTGACCCCATGATGCCACTTCAGGGGGTTACATACACTTAAATCTCTAGAACATTTTGGGAAATTGACATAGGGTTAGCAAACTTCCCCCACCCCCATATAAAAATATTAATACTTTTTTTTTTTTTTTTTTTTGAGATGGAGTCTGGCTCTGTCACCCAGGCTGGAGTGCAGTAGCACAATTTCGGCTCACTGCAACATTTGCCTCCTGGGTTCAAGCGATTCTCCTGCTTCAGGCTCCCAAGTAGCTGGGATTACAGGGGCTCACCACCACGCCCAGCTAATTTTTGTATTTTTAGTAGAGATGGGGTTACACCATGTTGGCCAGGCTGGTCTCGAACTCCTGACCTCAAGTGATCCACCTGCCTCGGCCTCCCAAAGTGCTGGGATTACAGGCATGAGCCACTGCGCCCAACCAAGAATATTAATACTTTTAAAAAAAAAAAATCGAACATACATTTATTTATTTATTTATTTATTTTGAGATGGAGTCTCGCTCTGTCGCCCAGGCTGGAGTGCAGTGGCGCGATCTTGGCTCACTGCGACCTCTGTCTCCCAGGTTCAAGCGATCCTCCTGCCTCAGCCTTCCGTGTGCCACTATGCCCGGCTAATTTTTTTATTTTTAGTAGAGACCAAGTTTCACCATGTTGGTCAGGCTGGCCTCAAACTCCTGACCTCGTGATCTGCCCGCCTCGGCCTTCTAAAATGCTGGGATTACAGGCATGAGCCACCACGCCCAGCCCCAAAATCTAACGTTTGTTATCACTGTTGTTTTACAAAAGAAAGGGCATTTTAGTGCAACCCATGTCCATCCATAGTGGCTGAAGGTCCCTCTCAAGTGGTTGATAAAGCTGAAAAAAGAGACTATGAGGAGAAAATAGGAATGTATCAATTAGCTATTTTAGAGGCAGGGCAAACTATGAGCTAGGTATTTCTATAAGGAAATGAAATAATTTTCCAAAAAACATACAGCAAGGAAACAGTAGAGCTGGAGTTTTCTGATTTTTCTGAGTCCAGAATTTGTTTCACTGTTCTCATTTCAGTTCTCTCTAACAGGATGAATGACCTTGATTTCAGAATCCCCAAGCAGGTGGTGAGATCCAAAATTGAGACAAAAGAAATGGGGCTGTTCCAAAAAAAAAACCTAGGTGGTAGGTGTCTAACATGTAAGGGAGCTAAAACAGGGTGTGCAGGTTTCAGCAGCAGGTTGAATTTAGAATGGGGAAGGAGACCAGAGGAGGCACCAGACAGGATGACTTTGTCCCATTGGCCTGGAGGCAGACCCATGTTTCTCCACCCCTCATATCACCCTCCAGTTTGTAACAGTATCTTTGAATGACGATCTGATTAAGGTCGGTCTCCTCCATTAGTCCACAAGTTTTGGGGGTACATCTACTTTGCTCATTTCCATATCACCAGAATCTAGCACAAGGCCTGGCACATAGTAGGTGCTCAATAAATATGTTAGATGAAAGCAAGATAACACCTCTATGTACTAGCGGTGACACTCCAGGCATGCAATTTCTGTCCTTCAGTCTCTTCATCTCAAGGTTTAATTTAGGCCGGGCGCGGTGGCTCAAGCCTGTAATCCCAGCACTTTGGGAGGCCGAGACGGGCGGATCACGACGTCAGGAGATCGAGACCATCCTGGCTAACACGGTGAAACCCCGTCTCTACTAAAAAATACAAAAAACTAGCCGGGCGAGGTGGCGGGCGCCTGTAGTCCCAGCTACTCGGGAGGCTGAGGCAGGAGAATGGTCTAAACCCGGGAGGCGGGGCTTGCAGTGAGCTGAGATCCGGCCACTGCACCCCAGCCTGGGCGACAGAGCAAGACTCTGTCTCAAAAAAAAAAAAAAAAAAAAAAGGTTTAATTTAAATGTGATAACGCCTGTATGCAGCTCCCAGCATCCAGTAGGCACTCATTAAACACAGTTCTCCACCTGCCCCTCCCTCGGTTATCCCACTACTTCCTGCATGGTGACACACCCATAGTTTGGAGCCATAAAACCCAACCCAGGTTGGACTCTCACCTCTCCAGCCCCTTCTGCTCAGGCCCTGTCCTCAAATTGGGGGGCTGATGCCCCCATACACCTGGCTCTGGGTTCCCCTAACCCCAGAGTGCAGGACTGGGACCCGAGTGGACCTCAGGTCTGGCCAGGTCGCCATTGCCATGGAGACAGCAACAGTCCCCAGTGGCAGGTTCCCTAAGTGACTGGTTACTCTTTAACGTATCCACCCACCTTGGGTGATTAGAAGAATCAATAAGATAACCGGGTGGTGGCAGCTGGCCGCACTCACCGCCTTCCTGGTGGACTGGCTCCTGGTGGCTCTGCTGCTGCTGTGAGCGGGCCCCTGCTCCTCCATGCCCCCGGGTCTCCGGCTGGGTGGGCTTGGCCATGGTCAGTGTGAACGCGCCCCTCGGGGCTCCAGTGGAGAGTTCTTATGGTAAGTGGGGCTGGGGGGAGACTGGACAGGGCGGGGCTGCGGTCAGCTTTGGGAGGCCGTGGGACACCTCCCCGTGTGTTTCTTACGGGCCCAAAGCCCCTCCTAGAACTCCACTGGAAGGGCAGGAAGCCCCACGGAGGCAACGTGACTGCTTCCCTAAGCTCTCAAGCCGGGGCATGGCCTGTTTGGTGCGAGAAGTGCTGGGAGGGGCCCAGAAGCCCTGAGGCAGGAGCTTGGCTCATTTTGTCTGTCCAGAGGCCTTCCTGGGAATGCATCTCGGTGGTCTTTTCAAAACCCCACAGAGGGTGGGGCTTGGAAGCACCGTCCTGCTTCGCTGCGGGGCAAATTGAGGTCCACCGGGAGAGCCTTGCTGGGCCTAGGTCACGTTGCTGGTGCATTGTCAAGCTGGGCGTGGGACCTGGGCGCCTGGGTCCCTCCGCACCTCCTTTGGCTCTGGATAATGGGAAGGAGGTAGAAAGCGCCGCGCAGCGTGGAGCGCTGGAAAATGGGAATATCTTGTGCGGACGCGTGAAACTCAGATGCGGGGCAAGAAAGCGTGTGTTACTGGGAGTGAAAGGCTCAGGCTCACTCCTTAGGGTGAGCCCCACATTGGAAGTAACCCAATGTCCCTCAGCAGAGGGAAGACAGGTAAATAAAGCTTGAGGCGTCTTTACAATGGAATGCTATCCCATTGTTCAAGGAAAAAACGCATATCTGTGTGTGACAAGGAAGAACCTCTCAGTTACATTAAGTGAAAACGGTACACTGAAGAACTGTATAGTTGCTGATAGTGAAACGGATATAGATGTATACATGTACATACACGTCATAGATGTATATATGTACACACGCGTATACATGTACATTCCACGCATATAAAATTCATGGAATGACATGATGAAATTGTTGACAGGTTTGTTTCTGAGGAAGGAAATTCAAGAGAATGTTTTATCTTTTGGGGACGCATTTTGGATTTTTAAAAGTTGGGTGCATTTTATAAACCTGTTCAAATCACACACCCGCACAGAACTTGGCCTCTGGAATCCAGTAGACTTCGGGTCTAGTTGTGACTCTGTCGCACGACTCAACATTCATGTGCCTCTTGCTTTCTTTCTGAAGTGGAGACAGGATTAGGAGGTATCTTAAGATCACGGTGGATGCCGTGGGGAGCAAGGGTGATACCACGTGCGTTGCAAAGATGTAATCAACATTTATGTCATCATTTGCTGAAGACAGAGGGCCAGTGAATGACAGAATCAGGGCCTGATCTCCTGACTCTAGTCAGGCAGAATCTGCTTTGACCCCCATCAAACAGGAATATGTGATGCACTGGAAATGGCAGAGGCTGAAGAAACCAGCAGCCTGGGAACCCATCCCACATACCAGCTGTGTGACCTTGGGCAAGACACTTCCCCTCTCTGAACCTATTTCCTCATCTGTAAAATGAAGATAACAACAGGACCTATCTCCCAGAGGGTGGGGAGATTAGAGGAGATAGCATAACTAAAGGGTGAGGCCACCCTTAATCCACAGTTTTAAGACCTAGAGTAAAGATGCCAGTGGATGACTTGGTTGAACCTGTGGCTAGAGGAAGACATTGTCTCTCAAAGGGGCCAGACAGCTTCTGGAGAAGGACAGCCCAGGTCATAAGGCTAAGCTAGGGGTGAACAGAAGGCCCCACAGTGTCTCTTAAAGGATGATACAATAATATAACCTGACAGCCTTTCACTGTCTCCCAAGTTTCTGCACCTTGTAGGGTGTCCTCATCTCTCTTCATCTCTGCCCCTGTGTCGTACTCATTATATAGCAAGCATTCAGCAGTTATTAGAATGGTTGCATGTATCGATGGGTAGGTGGGTGAATGGATGGATGAATGGGTTAGTGGATATTCTACTATTATCTCTCAGACAGCTGTTTCATTTTCCAAACAGCCGTCTGAGATAAATAATATTGTAATCTCCAAGGACAGAAGAGAAAACTAAGGTTCAAGATTAAAAAAACACACACACACACACACACACACACACACAAAATATCATGACTCGAGACCTGACACAATCCAACTGTTGCTGGCCCTCTGCTCTAGGCCACAGATATGGCTGGATAGAGAAAGGAGAACTCCAATGACCTTGCAGCACATCCATAAAAAATGAGCACTTTTGTCCTGGGGCAGTGGAACATTCGCTGCAGTGTATATGTAACTGTGTGTATGTGTGTGAGAGTGGCTGAAAGACCCTGATTTGATATTTTTGATAAAATACATCTGGGTTAGCATCCTAGCATCCTAGATCCACCTTTCTTAAAAAAAAAAGAAAAAAAAAAAGCTGTGTGGTCTTATGAGTCAAATCATTACCCCTCTCTGAGCCTCGCATGCTTTATCTGTAAAATGAGCTAGTGAAGTCTGCCGGGAGGCTCCAGAAAAAAAAAAAAAAAAGAAAAAAGAAAAGAAAGAAAAAAGAAAAATTCACTTTCTGAGAAAAGAAACAAGTGCTCCGAGGAAACAAACCCCTCTCCCAGGCCAGGCGCAGTGGCTCACGCCTGTAATCCCAGCACTTTGGGAGGCTGAGGCAGGCAGATAACTTGAGGTTAGAAGTTTGAGACCAGCCTGGCCAACATGGCAAAACCCCGTCTCTACTAAAAATACAAAAATTAGCCAGGCATGATGGCACGCGCCTGTAATTCGAGCTACTCGGGAGGCTGAGGCATGAGACTCACTTGAACCTGGGAGGTGGAGTTTGCATTGAGCCAAGATCATGCCACTGCCATTGCCACTCCAGCTTGGGCAAGAGAGCAAAACTCTGTCTCAAAAAAACAAAACAACAAAACAAAAAACAAACAAACAAAAAAATAAAAAACCTTCTTCTGGGGTTCCCTAATGGGGATAACATTAATCATCTTCTAAGATGACTATAGTAGAGGTGCATTGGTGAGTCAGGGACATGGCACATAGCACAGCCTCAGTTAGAGACAGAGGGAGACATGGCTGTTATGAGGATCAAATGGAAGAACACATGAGTGCTTAGAACAGTGCTGGGTCCAGAGTAAGCACGCAAGAAATCATCGTTGTGGTTTCATGTTTTTGAGCTTTAGCAGGACGCTAAAGAGCTGCTCTTTGGTGTGGTGATGCTGGGCGGACTTGGCCCTCCCTGGACTGCCGGTGCTTCCACGGCACACTGGATTTGGCTTTGCGGTTCTCCTCATGGCTCTGATCAGATAGTTGCTGGTGTGAATTGTGGACCGGTGCTTCCACGGCACACTGGATTTGGCTTTGCGGTTCTCCTCATGGCTCTGATCAGATAGTTGCTGGTGTGAATTGTGGTGTCTGGCTCTCCCACCAGACTATAAACTCCGTGAGCTCTGGGACCTGAGTAGTTTGTTCAGCCTTGTTTGTCTCACAATGTCTCACATGGTGACTGGCACAGAAGAAATGCTCAATAAGCATTTGTTGGATGAGTTAAATGATGGGCTGAAAACAGCGCTACAGCGATGATCATCAATGTCAGCCAGATCCCACTCTCTTCCCTTCCTTCCTGTCTGCCCTCCTCACTGCATTGGCTTTGGTCCTTGTATTTGCCCCATTATAACCCAAGCTGGCTGTCCCAGCATCAGTTGTTATGTCTGGACTCATGTGCCCGAAGCTGCAGGCAGGAGGAGAAGAGGTTTTCCTCGGTGCCCTTGTTTCTTTTATCCAAAAGCAAAACTTCCCCAGAAACCTCCTGGTTCAAGGAAAACTGGGAAGACAAGTATGTAGTGGGAAGAGATGGGAAAGCCAAGACGGGCCTAGACCAGTGATGTTTCTCTTGGGGTGTGGCACACTCCTGCTTCAAACAGAACTGAGGCTCTGGTATAAGTGAGTTTCTCAGCCTTAGCACTGTTGAAATTTTGGCCTGGAAGATTCTCTGTGGTGGGGGGCTGTCCTGTGCATTGTAGGATGTTAGGCAGCATCCCTGGCCTCTACTCTACTCCCTAGGTGCCAGTAACATCTCTCCCCATCAGTTGTGCCCATGAAAAATGTCTCCAGAAAGCCAAATGTACCCTGGAGCACATATAACCCCAGGGTGTTATAGGAGAACAAGGTAGTTCTAGGGAGTGTCTACCACAGTGGAGTAGAGTAGACTGTGACTCTTGTGGTGTTCTGCATTGAGTGCCAGGACCTTGCTCAGTGCCAATCTGGGACTCCCCTGAGTAACTGTGAGGATGAGATGCTAAGCATACATATCTGTGTGCTAACCTGACTCCTGGCCTTATGACTTTTCTACCCTTATTTTCCTTTCAACAAGTTTCCCTTGGTTGTTTATTTTGCTTCTTTGGTAGTTGCCCATTTCTGTAAGTACCTCGAATCTCCTTGTAGGAAGGGTAGGTGGTTAGGGGAAGGATGGATGGACAAATGATGTGATGAGTGGGGAGATGAAAAGATGGTGGGTGGGTGGATGGATGGATGGATGGATGGATAAGAAGGGGTGAGCTGAGGTGGTCTGGAATAGCACCTTCAAGTGCTCTAGACAGGACAAGTGAAGAGATAGGGGATGTCAACAATCTTCCATCAGGGCAATACTGCATATCTGTTTTTCAGTGCCGGGTGAGCCTAATTTTTCCAGCTATATAGGCCTAGTCCCTTTGACCAATAGCATCAGCTTGAGGACCAATCCGAGGCCATTGTCGGAGACAGTTTGGTGATGTGGCTCTGTCCCTTGAAGCTCTGTGATGATGGTGCTTTGCTTCAGTTCTCTGTTCCTCAGTTTCTTCACCCATCAAATGAACCTTGGTTGTTGTGAAGATTCCATGAGCTAATGAAAGAGAAAAGGTAATAGAAGCTATAACAAATATGCTGTGTCCTTGTGAAGGGTAGATAGGCCCAAAGTTGAGTAGGACCCCAGATGCTGGCTGGCTATGGGACTGTGTTCAATATCAGGCTATGGCAGTTCCCACCCTTCATTCTCAAAATATGGCCCCTCTCCAGCCCTTCCCCAATCTCCCTCCCACATCACCTTCCCATCCTACCTCAATTCAGTCTTCAGCCCCTATGATTCACAACCCTGGTTGCACATAGGAAACTTTTTAAAACAAATTTTGGGACTCCACTCCAGACCCAGTGAATCAGAGTCTCCTGGGGTGAGTTCCAAGAATCTGTAATTTTTTGAGCTCCTTATGTGATTTAGGGTATGCAGTTCAGTTGAGGTATGGAAACCACTGCCTCACTTTGTCCCATTTAGTAAACAAAGGAACTAGATACCCAGAGTGCATTTTGCCTCCACCCAGAAGCCTCCCGTATTCATTAATTCATTGTTCATTTGTTCATTTCTTCAACAAACTTCCATTGGAGGCTTATGGTATTTAAGGCATTTTGTAAGGCACTGGGGGAACACAGGAGGATAAAACTCTGTTTCATGTGGTGGCTCATGCCTGTAATCCCAGCACTTTGGGAGGCCGAGGTGGGTGGATCACCTGAGGTCAAAGACCAGCCTGGTCAACCTGGTGAAACCCTGGCTCTATTAAAAATACAAAAATTAGCCAGACATGTTGGTGGGCCTCTGTAATCCCAGCTACTTGGGAGGCTGAGGCAAGAGAATCACTTGAACCCAGGAGGCTGAGGTTGCAGTGAGCCAAGATCATGCCACTGCACTCTAGCCTGGGCGACAAGAGTCAGACTCTGTCTCAACAAAACAAAACAAAACAAAACAAAACAAAACAAGCAAACAAACAAATGAAACCAAAAAAAAACAACTTTGCCTCAGATCTTCAACAGTACCCAGTTTGGCGGGTAGACAGACAAGCCAGCAGCAACCAAAGACAGAGTGCCATGATAAGGACAGAGAAGGCACCATGGGATACAGAGGGACTTAGGAGAAGGGGAAGGGGTCACCGACTTCTTGACCCTGGAGGAGTAGACTGATATCTAAGCTGGAACCTAGGTTTAGCAGGAGTCAGCTGGGAGAGGAGATGGTGGAGAAGAGTGTTCCCAGCTGAGGGAACAGCATATGAAAAGGCCTGGAGCCTGGCCTCACACCACTCTGATTTTACTTGTATTTGACTGCAATTAATTCCGTCCTTTACTGCAAGTATCTCGAGACTTGTCTGGTTGTTTCATGATTGATTAATCTTGTTCCTAAAAGCATGCTGAGACTGGGCACAGTGGCTCATGGTGGATTACACACCTGTAATCCCAGCACTTTGGGAGGCTGAGGCGGGTGGATCACTTGAGGTCAGGAGTTCAAGACCAGCCTGGCCAACATGGTGAAACCCAAACATTAGCCGGACATGGTACCAGGTGCCTGTAATCCCAGCTACTCAGGAGGCTGAGGCAGGAGAATCACTTGAACCCAGTTGGTGGAGGTTGCAGTGAGCCGAGGTCACACCACTGCACTCCAATCTGGGCAGCAGGGGGAAACTTGTCTTTAAAAAAAAAAAAAAAAAAGCCTGCTGAGATGCTTAAGTGAAGGAATTGCACTTTCCGTTTTTCCTGACTCATATGCCTGTAGCATAAGGAAGGAAGGAAATTTGTTTTCATTTAACTTCCTTTTATGTAATGGGCAAGATGCTAGCTATTTGATATGTTTTCTCCCATTTAAGCCTTTTTCGCAATAGCCCATCCAAGTAGGAAGTATTACCTCCATTTTGTAAACAAAGAAATTGAGATTCAGAGTTGTTAAGTTGCGTTTCCCTGCATCACCCAGCAAATAGGTGATTAAAATCTACTCTGACACCAAATCTTCATTCTTTCAGTTATCACGTCATAATAACATCCAAGGGGGCTGGGTACCATAGTGGTTAGCAGCTCAAGTCAGGCTGCCTGGGTTCAAACTACCACCTACTAGCTGTGTGACCTTGAGTAAATGACTCAATCTTTTTTTTTTTTGAAACGGAGTCTTGCTCTGTTGCCCAAGCTGGAGTGCAACGGTACGATCCTGGCTCACTGCAACCTCTGCTTCCTGGGTTCAAACAATTCTCCTGCCTCAGCCTCCTGAGTAGCTGAGATTACAGGTGGCCTGCCACCATGCCTGGCTAATTTTTTGTATTTTTAGAAGAGATGGGGTTTCACCGTGTTCACCAGGCTAGTTTTGAGCTCCTGACTTCAAGTGGTCTACCCACCTGATGATTCAAGTGATTACAGGCCTGAGCCACTGTGCCCGACCGACTCAATCTTTTTTGCCTCAGTTTCTTCATCTGTCAAATGGGGCTGATGATAATACCATTTACTTCATAGGGTTGTTGTGAGAAATAAACGAAGTCAATATTTGTAAAGTGCTGAATGCCTAGTACATAGAAAGTGCTATGTGAATTTGAACTATTATTATTATTATACCTATAGAGTGTGCACCTACTATATGCAAAGGATTGGATGCTTACTAGGTGCTAGCATCATTGTAGAAACAACAGAGATGACTAAGGAATAGATAACTGGTCCCAGGATGCAACTGTCTCTGGCTGGAGAGTTAGGACAAGGCTTTGTTAAGAGCCTTCTGGGGCCCTGGGATTCCCAGGGTCTCCTTTTGGGGGTGCTGGTTCATAGATGTTACAAGGGGACCGTGTGGCTCCTTCACAGAGGAAGAGGCAGATGAGAGGCATAGAAAGGGAGGGGACGGACCTATCCTCATCAGTGACCTGGGCGATGGCTCTGGCCCTGACCCTAGGTGGCTGTTTGTGACTTCACTCAAGTCCTCCTGCTGTTTCTCCATCTCCTCTTTTTTTTTTTTTTTTTTTTTTTGAGACAGAGTCTCAATGTCACCCAGTGGCTCTATCTCTGCTCACTGCAACCTCCACCTCCCGGGTTTAAGCAATTCTAATGCCTCACCCTCCAAAGTAGATGGGATTACATGTGCGCGCCACCACACCTGATGAATTTTTGTAGTTTTGGTAGAGACGGGGTTTCACCATGTTGGCCAGGCTGGACTCCTGGCCTCTTGTGATCCTCCCACCTCGGCCTCCTAAAGTGCTGGGATTACAGGTGTGAGCCACAGCACCCAGCCTCCATTTCCTCTTTTGAGAAACGGAGGTATGACAACCACCTTGTTCAGCGGTCGTCACACAGTATTCCCTGGGTCCTAAGAGTCAGGAAAGATGCTGCAGGGTTCACTTTGAGGGTAATGTGGGTAGGGACGTGTTCAAATGGACTAGGGCTTAGCCTCCCCCCACCCTTTAACCTCTGGCTCCATCACAGACACTTCTTTTTGACTTTTGTATATTTCTTTTTATTTTATTTTAGAGACAGGGGTCTCACTATGTTGCCCAGGCTAGCCTCAAATTCCTGGGCTCAAGCAATCCTCCCACCTCAGCCTCCCAGCCCCTGGGATTACGTGCTCATGCCACTGCACCCGGTGCTCTGTTTTGACTTTTAAATGGAATATTTATTGGAGGGTCTCCACAGTTCAAAACTACTTGGAAAATCAGAAGACCACACCAGTGTGTTTCAAACTGCAATCTTAACCCAGGAATATAGGTCATGCAATTTTTTTTTCTTTTTTTTTTTCTAGATGGAGTCTTGCTCTGTCACCCAGGCTGGAGTGCAGTGGCACGATCTTGGCTCACTGCAACCTCCGCCTCCTGGGTTCAAGCAATTCTCTGCCTCAGCTTGCTGAGTAGCTGGGATTACAGGTGCCCACCACCACGCCCAGCTACTTTTTGTATTTTTACTAGAGACGGGCTTTCACCATCTTGGCCAGGCTGGTCTTGAACACCTGACCTCGTGATCCACCTGCCTCGACCTCCCAAAGTGCTGGGATTACAGGCGTGAGCCACCATGCCCGCTGGTCATTCAATTTGTTGGGGTTGTATTAGTTCAGGCAATCTAGTTTGTGTAACAAGCAAACACAAACTTTAGGTTAGAAGTTTTTTGACCTCTGTGGCATAGTCATCCAGGGACCCCTAAAGTCACCCTAGCCCAGGGAGACACTTTCACTTCTACTCACATTCCATTGGTGAGAACTAGTCACATGGCCCTTGCCAAATGCAAAGGGGTCTGGAAGATGTGGTCCGTAGCTGGGCAGGACTAGCTCTAAAGTTCGGAAAGGGGAGCATGAATTCGTTGGTACACAGTTGATTGTCTCTGCAATAGGGTCATGCTTACACATCCCTCCATACACACACGTTAAATATGTATAACAAGTGTAAATATACTATTTAAAAAATTATCTTTTTTTTTCGGTTTTTGTTTTGTTGCTGTTTTGAAACAGGGTCTTGCTCTGTCACGTGGGCTAGAGTGAGCCACAACCATGGTTCACTGCAGCCTCGACCTTCCAAGCTCAAGCAATCCTTCCACCTAAGCCTCCCAAGTAGCTGGGACCACAAGTGCATGCCACCATGCCCAGCTAATTATTTTATTTTTATTTTTTTGTAGTGACAGTTCTTGCTGTGTTGCATAGGCTGGTCTCCTACTCTTGTCCTCAAGCAATCTTCCTGCAGCAGCCTCCCAAAATGCCGGGATTACAGGTGTGAGCCACCGCACCTGGCCTTTACAGGTTTTTTGAGTGAAAATGTTTCCATAAAAAAGTGCATAGATAGACACAGAGATAGCAATAAAGCAACTGTGACAGAATGCAACCAGTTGGTGAATTTAGGTGAAAGGATACATCAGTGCTCACTATAGTAGTCTTTCAAACTTTAGTTAAAGTTTGAAATTTTTCAAAATAAAATATTGGAGAAAATGAAATTCTCAAAATTTGCTAGACCTATAAATAGAATGAAACAGTAAGATATAACTAAAGTAAGATTTGGCCGGACACAGTGGCTCATGCCTGTAATCCCAGCACTTTGGGAGGCTGAGGTGGGTGAATCACTTGACCCCAGGAGT